GGTAGGCAGACCCGCCGAGCACCACGGCGCCTGCAGAGGCCGGGGTGGGCAGACCCGCCGAGCACCACGGCGCCTGCAGAGGCCGGGGTAGGCAGACCCGCCGCGCGCCCGAGCACCGCCGCTGACTACCTCCCAGGCGGCCCGGGTGCGAGGTCCGCGCTAAAGTGGCAAATCATAGCGCCCGCCCAGGCCGAGGCATTGGCCTTATCAGGCTGCAGGTGGGGGTGATGAGAGGGGGCAGCCTCACCGGCTGTCAGCCTGACATGCCATTTGGGCGGCGCTCCGGCGGGGAGGGTTGGGTTGGGGGGGTCCAGCGGGCCCGCGCAGCAGCCGCCGGCTAATCCGCGAGGGGCTTGCCTCCCTCCTCCCTCAGCGCCGCCATGCGCCATCTGCCCCGCACTCACTCAGCCCGGCTGGCTGGCTGGGCGGCATTGACAAGGCTCCTGGCTTTGCGCGACAGCTTTAGGGGCCGGCGGGGCCGGCGCGGCGCAGGCGACAACGCAAGGCCTAGGCCAGGCCGGGCCAGGCCAGGCTCTGGCTGGCAACGTCTGGCGCTGTCCCTACCTCTCCCCGCCTCATCTTTTCGAAGGAGTGCAGTCCGAACACGATTGCGCTTTCGCAGAGATTGCGCAGCGAACAAGGGGTGAAAAAAAAAAGACAGAGGGCGCCTTCGCCTCGAGCTCGTCCGCCGTGCACCTCACGTGGCCTAGGCGAGGCGCCCGCCCCACCCGATTGAATGGCCATTTAGTTCGCGGGCGGGCAGAGCAAGGACGGCTAGCTGCGGCCAAAAATACCCGGCAACAGGAGAACGCTCAGTTAATAGCTTCGGGGACAGGCCACCCCGGGGCCACAACAAAGTCGGGTCCCGAGGAGAGAGCGCGCGCGCGCGTCCGCCCGAGCGGCTAACCCATCCCCCGGAAAGAAAGTCCCGCTCATCGAGCAATGCACGGGGGGCGCCGGGGGCTGCCGCGGCCGCGCGGAGAATAGTGTGTGCGTGCGACCTGGGCGCGATGGGCCAAGACGGGATGGTGGGGCGCGGTTGGGGGGG